AAATTGCTCATCAAAATTTAGCTGTGTATACCAAATTTCATTCATTTATCACAACGCGATTGAGAGATATTGCAAAAAAATGATTTCCATTCCTCCCTCTTCAATGGGTCCCTGTGCCCTTAGGAAGCATTTCCGGACCCATGTTCATATGAACTTTTTTACTTAGTTTTGATCATAGAATCGGTCTGTTCAGGGTTGGCAGCTAATTATGAGACACCCTGTATAGACGATTATAGATTCTATCGATGTGCGTAGCCAGCGGAACAAAGATAAATAATATTGAACCGTATAGAAATCATTTTATATTTTATACGCATTATGGTAATAGTGTTTTTATATTATGTCTGAGTCACTCTATAATTTCGACCCCTTAGTATAGTTGTAAAAATACCAGGTACTGGCATATTTACAATTAGTTATGGAAATCAAATTGCCATTATTTTTGCAAAATGCTTCCTTTTTTACTAGCAATAATGTTCACACTTGCAAGTAGCAGGCGTTTTCTTGTTAACCAGAATGCTTTTTTGTATGTAATCAATATGTACCATATGTTATTCCTGGCTTTAAACATATTTTACACATGTTTTAAATGTTACATTTTATCTTAACGTTTGGGATTTTATATTAAGAACTACCTTTGTTAAAAAATATATATATAAAGTTTTGATTATTTCAAATAATTACCGAAATTGAAACCAGGGCTCAATATAAAGTGGATCTTTGGCCTAATCTTTGTCTCGATCTCTGCAGTATAGAATGCAGATTTCTATATCTGTACCTCAGAGCTAAACTGTATTAAGTGCCAAAAACGAAATTTTACAGGAGAGAGATTTAAAGATTTAAATTTTGCTTATCATTCCATAACTTCGAACTCTTACTTCTCCTTGATAAAAAAAATTAGTATGATGTGAAGTTATATGTCTATTTTAATATTATTTTTTGTAATTTAAAGAATAATTTTCTATTCGTATTTTTTTTTCGAAAAAATGGAGTTAACACTATTTGGCACAAATATGATTTTATGAGGGATTTTATAGTATAATATTTACTAATTGTGCGATAATACACGATGAATGTGTATATAATACTAAAGTAAACCAACATGATTTTGATATATGTGGAGTTAATACTACGAAGTCAAACTAATAGAATATTAACTCCACATACACCTGTTTGTCTCGGACTATATTGATGTAACAAGGAACTTAATACTGTGGAAATGAAACACAGTTAATATTAAATACACATACGATTGTCTAGCTTGGAGACAGGTTGGGACTTATTATTATTTAGCACTGTCTATCTTCGAAAGTATCATGAGTGGGAGTTATTACTGCTTAGCACGTGAAAGAGCATAAGAAACTGTGTTGGGCTGTCAAATAATCCCATTTTCGTAAAAAAATGGAGTTAATACATTTTAGCTCTGAGGTATAGATATGTTAATTTCATAGAGAAAGCAATTGATTTTTTCGACTGGTATTCTATTTAGCTATGTATAAAACATGGGATATGCAGGGTGATTCAGTCATAATGTCAATGTCATTAATTTTAACCACATATTTGGAAGGCCTAATAAAGACACAAAAAAGAAAAAAAAAAAATTCGTATAAATATTTGTATTCTACTAATTTTTCCGTATCTTCCCTTAAAATTAATGACGTTATGATTGAATCACCCTGTATAGACATTAAAGTTCATTTTGCAATTATTTACTAATTTATATTTTATTTAGAAACTCTTGCTTTAAATAAACTCTATGAAATATTATTTTAATTCATAATTGATTTTGGTGAAAAATGCCACAATTAAAGAATATAAGGTTCAATTGAATTTATTGAGAAAATTGATAAACTAAATTCTTTAAAGGATTTAGTAAAATTAGCTTTGTTAAATACTTCATTCCAAAAATTTTTTTTTCTTTCAGACCAAATTAGTTCCCTTAATACACCATATGGGTGGTTCTATTAGAAAAGATATGTCTGCAAAAGTAACGCATTTAATAGCAAATGTAAGTGGTGGTGATAAATATCAGTATGCAGCTACATTTAGGGTGCCAGTTATGAATCTGCACTGGGTACACGCCAGTTGGGAGCATAGACATGAACTGGAATTTGTCGCTACATTGGACACATTCACGGTAAGTAAGATGAAAATGCAAAATTTCAGTTAAGAAAATTCACTTGGTAAATAAGTAGTGCCAAAAACCTTATTTTTAGTTATTTTAGATAGATTTAAAAAACAATGTTGTAGTTACTATAAACATAGATCGCAGATGTCTCGCTAATCTAAAAATCCTACTATTATATTTCAGATTATCACTATAAATTCTGAGTTTAATAAGAGATAAAAAAATAGGATTTTTTTTCTACGAGTTGTTGAAGTAATTTTTTTTTAAATTTAGTTTTGCTAATATGCATATGTTTTGACTTGTGTGGTTTGAATAGTTTTAAAAAAGTTATAGCAGCTGTTTGTTATACTCCAAACTAAGATTAATTTGTCATAATTTTTTTAAAATTATGGGTATGAGATTCCCAAAATTATTTTCTTGTGATTTTTAATTTTATACAAAATAAATTGATTTTGTTAAAATTTGCTAAACTGCTTCATTTTCGAGAAATTGCTGGAAAATTGGAGGTTGGTCTGATACTTCTGCCATATATTAATAGTTTATTAAACAAACACTGATACACTTTACACATTTTCTGAGAGATCTTCGAGTTTGAAACAACATATTGGGATTGCATCTGACTTCATTGGCAGCGATTTGTATTCTTTGCCACAACTCTTCCCGCGAACCAATCGATTCTTTGTAAACTATATCTTTCATTCGGGACCTAATAGAAAAATCAAGAGGATTGAAGTCCGGACTTCTGGGTGGCTAAGCAAAAATGTTTCCACGGCTTGAAGAAGTTCCACTTTATTTAGGAAGAGACATGTTTCATGCACGACCACATTTTTCTTGACCAGTGTGCCCTTTAAATCATTATTACGTATTTTATTTGTTTTATTGTTAATTGTTGTAATAACATGAAGAAACACTTGGTTTGTTTCGCTTTTAATTTCTCGTATTATCAAAATATAGTGTTTGTTAAATTGATTTTTCTCGAAAACAGATCGAGATACCGAAATCAAACAAGAATACATAATTAATGGAAAAATTATTGCTCATTCAGATTTTGAATCAAGTTTCATATTAGACATACAGGGTAAAAAGTTATTAACTAAATTTTCGATAAAATTGGTCGTGGGTGACGCCCTCTATGAGCAATGCTGAAATTATAACACGCATCTTATTCGTCGCTTAAAAAAATATAGGTCCACAAATTTTCAAGATCCTAACCTACATATTTTCAGAATAATCGCAAAAAAACGATTTAAAATTTTAACTTTCAACACCCTGTATTTCCGAAACTATCAACTTTCGGATAAGGCATGTTTGCGCCAATGGTCACCATTTCACGTGTAGCATCTTCAGCTTTCGATTTTCCCATTGTTAATGAATCACCCTGTATGCCCATTACTATGGCTTGCAATAATTGTCGTAAAACTTAGATAAACAAATTTTTTGCAGGCTGAACACAAACTCAAACCTTTCCATGGAGCCCGAGTTTGTTTTATTGGCTTCCCGGAAGAGGAAGAAAAACACATGACTGAAGTACTACTGTCAAATGGCGGTGCTGTAACTAATCTCGAAGATCCCGGTTGCAGTCATGTGGTAAGTATTATTGCTTTCTATTATATCTTATGTTAATTTTTACAAGTAGTGATGGTTAAATGATCGGTCACTTAAAAATCGATAACTTACTGGGGAATGTGACTTGCCAATTTTAGACAGTTATCAGTAATTATCAAATTTAAAAAATTTTGTTTTTATTTAGTCTTTTGTTGTGATTTTTGCACACTTCTCATTCTGGTTGTTTGTTCCACTTACCAGATTTTAGAAAAATTACATTGGGCATACTTTTGTCCGTTTAAAAATTTTAAAGCAACTTCACACAAAATGTAACCACTTTTATCATATTTAAGATAGAAAAATAATTATTGACAAATATAAATAACAAAGGCCGACAAAATTTCAAAAAAGGAAAAGCGCAGAAAGCAGACAGTACATTTCCGAAGGTTTTTGATGCGCTGGATCCGAATCTGGCCTCAGAATTGACCCATCACCCTAGGTTTCCGAGATATTCTAAACCCTAGATATGTAAAAAACATGTTTTTTGGTATATTCAAGGTTATATGACATTGTGAATAAATTTTTTTTCTAAAAATCAATTACACCACTGAAAAGTAGGATTTTTACCCTGCAAAACCCTTCTTTCGATTTGAAAAAAGATTCATTTTTCGCCAAGATATCGTTAATTCAAAATTACTACTATTTGGACCTTTAGGTTAACCTGACGTGGGAATGAAAATATGGGGTTAAGGGATGCTTCGGGTATAAATTTTGAGTTTGATTTGTTGTGGATTTAGAACAGGGGTCGGCAAGTAATTTTAGGTCTGGATACTTTTGAAAATTTTTAATGAGGTTCAGAAAAAATTCATATTCCTTACTAATTTTTTATTTTACTATTTACTCACAAAATAATATCCAATACAATAGATATTTGTATTCAGATAGAGATAGAGATAGAGATTCAGTTTGTACATAGATATTTGTATTCAAAAATCAATTGGAAAAATTACATTTGCCGTCTTGAGCCAGTTTTTTAGGGTCACGCAGGGAGCAGCTTATGCGAAGAGTGTCTTCAAGGTGGGCGGCCGCTAATTTTGAGCGATATTGGTTCTTCAAAAAAGTCAATTTTGAAAATGAAGTATGTGGAGCCAAACATAGCAGCCAGGTGAATGGCAAATTTTTGCAGTTTCCAAATTTTTCTAGGACATGTTTACTCCTTGTCAAAGGTCGCCACCGCCGAGTACACCCGTTCGAAAGATAACTTTGTCATTTTAGAACCAGCTTGCTCCCTTTCACTCTCCAACACACTCTCTTGCACTACACAGGATAGTAACTACATAGTATTTAATCTAACTACTAACCACTAAGAACTCAAATCAGTCACGCAATTGTAAAATACTAGAAAAAACGTATTGTTCTACAGAGAAGTATATTTTAAATACTTTATTTAAATAATTTATACTTTTAAAAAAAATTTTGGCGGTCCAGTTTTTTGCCTTTCGCGGTCCAGATCTGGACAGCGGTCCGCCATTTAGGTTAACCTTCCGAAGCTTCAGCGCCTGCCGGTTATAGTGTACAACGGTTTATAACCTTAGTATAGCCTTGGCCTTTTAGGTTAGGAAATCTCAAAAACGTGAGGTCATTGGATAATATTAAGGTTAGATTCGAATTCAGCGACCCAAAAAAACTTAAAAATACTTATGTCTGATTCCTAAAAAATTTCTTAATTTGGCCATGGTGTAAAAAAGTAGCTGAAGTAGTAATTTTCAATTAACGATGTCTTGGCGAAAAATGAATATATTCTCAAATCGAAAGAAGGGTTTTGAAGGGTAAAGATTCTAATTTTCAGTGGTGTAATTGATTTTTAGAAAAAAATTTATTCGCGATGTCATAACCTTAAATATACCAAAAAAACGTTTTTTTTACACATTTAGGTTAGAATACCTCGGAAACCTAGGGAGATGGGTCAATTCTGAGTCCAGATTTAGATTCAGGGCATCAAAAACCTTCGGGGACATATTGTCTGCTTTCTGCGCTTTTTTCCTTGTTGGCCTGTGATAATTATTTTAATTGAATTATGAGAAATAGCAAAAAATTCATTTTAAATATTAGTCATTTTATTATACAACGGATCACTGATTTTTGTCATTTTTGGTGACTGCCATCACTACTTACAAGTAATTTCAAAATCACGTTTGAGATATCTATCACATCCATTTTCATCATTTCACAGTTGGATAATTCACATTTAATTGACAATTCTAACAATATTCAATGCTGCAAAAATTAAAAATAAATGAATTTGACCGTTAAAATAACTTGATAGATTTTATTTCTAGTGAGAACTGTAATTATTAGATTATTTTTTAAGAGCAAATAAAAGTTGCGAATGAGTACCTCTATATTTAATTTGTTCTTTCATTAACGTTAGTTGACCTTTGTTTTTTCTTTGGTACATATATTGAAGTATTTATCCATTTTCATCAGGTTCACATTTAAAAGCTTTTAGGGGTAGTCCAGTCTCTGCCTGCTATTTTTGGTTTTTAAAGAAGCCAAAACAATATAACGAATTTATATTGGTAGTTTTTTTTTTTAATCTGTAATGTATTAAATATTTATAATAAAATAACTAAGTATATGAAACAAAAAACATTACTTTCAATTACATTTCATGATCCTATGAACATATTCTTAAATCAGCTCCAAATGATGTGGTCACTCGCCAAAAATGCAATAAACATAAATTTCACAAATATTTGCGTGTTCTTTAACCAAAATCTATAATACCAAGGTATGTCATACACATGACATATATTTACCTATTGTTCGTATGTCAACCATCTGTGTACATTTGCAATTTATTTTACGAAGTCACGACAGTGGTGTTTGTACATTATGACAGGTTTGTTTTTTTTGACATGTTTTTATTTGCTGGCTGTCGAGTGAAATGTATCCTTTGTCCCTTTGTCACTTGACAAAGATTAGAAAATCTTTGTCAAGTGACACATGCTTCCGAATATATCAATATGCCTTCCACATGATGGAACAGCATTTATTTATATTTGACAAATTTTTGTACTCTTCAAGTTTACACATATTCGACAATTCAGTCCTTTATAATATACTGCATTTGTTTATAGTTGGTAAGTGATTGTATCGTCTGGAATTGACTTTAATACAATGTTTGCATGTGTCACAAAATGTGTCTATTTTGTTGATTAAAGATTTGTAAAATTCTTCAAAATCTATAAACTAGCAAGTCTACCAGTACTAATTGTTAATGCAGTAAATGGCTGGTGTGTAGTCTGGATTTATTTTAAAACTGCATGGTTATGGGTTTTAGGTTATGGAACATGCAGAAGTCTACACGTTAGAAGCTGCTAGTGCACCACTTTCTCCTAAAATTGTGTCACCCCAGTTAACTTCTCCTAAACAGATTGTCGAAGAACCAGCTATTTCCTCTGACATTCCCAATTTAACCCCCAAAACCCCTTCCATTCAAAACAGCATAAATAATAACATAGCTTTATCAGGGTCATGTTTTAAGGCCAGTCAAAGTGTGATGGGTCTCGAAACTTTGCATGAGAATTCACAAGACCTTGACCTAGTCAGTGAATTGGATAGTATTTGTTTTGACCAGTCGTTTGATGTAAGCAATGCCTCTGTCAAACGAAAACGCAAATTTGTCTCCCCAGAACAACCAAGTATTTTGGTTAAACGTAAAAGGGATAAGAGCTACAGTGAAAGAAAAAAAAAAGTTTCCGAATTCTTCAAAACACCTATAAATTATTTTTCTAATCGTAGACGTACAATTGACGCTGCTTCTTTTAATCAAAGTTTGAATGACAGCGTGATATCCAGTTCCGGAATTTTTAATGTTGACACGGTGCAGAATTTGAATGCTTATAATGAAAATGAACTTACACCTCGAGTTGTGCATAAAAGAGCTAAGAAAAATTTGTTTACTCGTACGTTCAGTTCCTCAAAATTCAACAGGGGTAAATCCAAAAAATCCCTTGATTTAAATGTTACGAAGTTGTCATTTGGAGAGCCAAGTGAAGTGGATAATAAGGAAAGATTGAATACCAGTTGTTTTCCTGACATTTCCTTTCATCCTACCTCCAGTAATACCCGTGAGCTTAGCAGTGCACATACCAGGGCACCAGGGAGAAGTTCGGTTTCTGCTGCTGTGGTACTAACTTCATTTCACTGTCTTAAGTATTATGTACTTAAAAATGTCCTTGCAAAAAACCGGGAAGCACATAAATATTGGTCTCATAAGACTGTTTAATTTTGCATAACAAATATTGGGACTATTTTAGCACTCAAGTATTTTTTATGCTACATTTTAATAATCATTGTTTCTTTAACACAAAATTTTTCAAAAATAACTATAAAATTTATATTCACTGATCATTTTAAAAACACTATACACTGTAGGTCAATTGCAACACTTTTGGGAGGTTTTTGCAGTTGATAGACAAAAAGAGGGGCTTGCTTTTCAAGAGAAATTGAAACCATGCCTTAATACAGTTACAGCATTTTTTATTTTTAGTTATTTGTTTTGTAATGTCAATTGACTTTCTTATTTGCAAACATTTAAAATTTTTGTGAAATGGTTTTTCTATGCTGTTTTTATCAATTTACGATTTTGCTGTTATAACAAACATATATTTTTTAAATGGGACATTCCAAATATTTTTCACATGACGTAAAAAAAAATTTGTAGGTATAAATACAAAAAAAAAAAATGTTTTTCAACAGTTTTATGATTCAGTTGCAAATAAGTGCCATGAGTGTGTCTTATATTTTGATGAAATTAATTGATTACATTGTAAAACAGTTGAATTACAAAGTAATGCTAGAAAAAAATCATTTAAATACAGAATTCTTCAATAATTTAAATACATATACAAGGTGTGGCAATGAAGTTTCGGGCATTTGTCAATAAAAGACAAGCAAATTAAGTTTCGGGCAAAATGTTAGCACCACGGTTACAGCCTCTTTGACCTCCTATATGCCGCCATGTTGTGTTCCGTTGAAGTGCGACTTCATCTTGGAGAATAAAAAAAAAATCACGGATTGTCATAGGGTGGATGCGACAACGTTGGAATGCCTTTTTTCGCCAAAAACTTGCACAATGAACGAGAATTGGACCGCGGCGGCAAGATCTAGCCGTGCAAAATTTTGCGAACGGTTTCTTTGTTCATGTTTAACTTGTCAGACAACGCACAAATGCTTAGACCGAGGTCAAACGTGATCAGCGCATGCAAACGGTCGACATTCGCATCAGTTCAAGAGGTGATGGGAGCGCCTTCACGTAGATCGTCTTCTACCGATTCACGCACCTCCTTGACCAGTTTTGCCCATTCAAACACACGTTTTCGATATGCACTCGTCTCCATACACCAGCTTCAATTTTCAAGGGATTTTCGAGGGTTTTTCGCCAGATTTCACTAAAAATTGAATCACAATACGCATAAAACACAAACCAAACGGACCATTGACTTCAACCTTGGACTGAGACTGAAAGGAAGATCACCCCTCTTTAGACAAATGTTGACGAACGACGCAGTGTTGCCAGTTGCCAAGTTATAACTAAATTCCTGGAACTTAATTGCCACACCTCGTATGTATATTTCAATAAGAAAAGGACACCCTACTCAATGATATTCTTATATTGCAGAGTTTGAAAGAAAATATATATTTACATTGTGAATAACAAGACATAAAAGTAAAAGAAAATTACAAATTTCTTTCACAAATAATATTACACATATTCACATATACATACAGGGTGTACACTAACAGTAATCCCAAATTCTGTGGATGTTTTTATGCAGGTTTGAGCAAAATCATAAAAATGCGTCCTAAGGCAGCTAGAGCCCTTAGAATAATAATATGGCACCTTTAATCAATTTTTTCCAAATGCCTTCGAAACGCCTTTAAGGGGTAAGACCACTGTATAATTTTCAAAAAATCTGTCTTTTTTTATTGATTTAAAATATGCTTTGAACCTTCTAGAATAAGAGGAGAGGCGTTTTATGCCTGTACTTTTTTTTTAATTTCTTTAAAATAACATTTTGAAGAGAAGTACTTATGGGATTTTCGATAAGTAGATTTTAACATTATTTATTGACAAATGATTGCTCCTTTTTGCTTCATACAAAAAATAGTGTTTTCAAAATACCCTACATATTTCTCTAATCATACTCATGTAGATTAAGAGTATATTTTTTTTTCCATATTTGTATTTGCTTCAGTCACACTTATGGTTACTGGATCTATTTCATGACAAACCCAGAGACATGACCCGTTTATGTAATTGACGCCTAAAAAAAAAAAACAGAAAATGTCGAAAAAATCACGATTTTTCAACAAACAAAGCTAACCCGGAGAAATGACATGTTAACCCAGAGCCCGAAGATGTACTATCAAAACCCGAAGACTAGTCACACTGCATGCCGCAGAGCTGCTCAAATTCAACATGCCTCGTGAAAATGACTCTAGCTGCGCCATTTTGTACTATTTATGAATAAATATATATCTTTTGGACATTTAAAGATATGGTTAATAATATCCTTGAATATTATTATTACTCTCTTACTTTTCTTTCCATTAAAAAAAAAAACATAGACCTTTGTTTTTGCGTTTTACAGTGGTTACCCTTTAATAAAATAAAATGAAATTGTACACTCTTTAATTTTTATATGTTCAATCTGCTCGTGTAAATATGAATTTTCAATTTGAATCAAAATTTTTTTTTCCAACTTTTTGAGACTGACGTCAATTTTGTAAAAATTTGTTTTATAGTAATATTAATGTAATCTTGTTTATTACCGCTATGACACCTGTTTTTTTTAAATCCATTTGTTTTTTTGTATTTGGATATTATTGAATTCATTTCAAAATTAAAAGTTTGCTATTTTTTTTTGCTAAAGGCGTTTTGAAGATATTTGGGAAAAATTGAGTACAATGTGACATATCCAAAGGGTTCTAGCTGACAGGACACCTTTTTGCATAAGGTGATTTTGCTCAAATCGGCATAAAAATATCCACAGAATCTAAGGTTATCGTTTGTCAGTAGAGTTTCTAGAAACCCTCCATGTATGTGTGTGTGTAATGTTATTTGTGATAGAAATTTGTAATTTTCATTTGTTTTTCTATCTTGTAATTCAAAATGTAAACATTTTCTTTTAAACCCTGCAATTCAGGGATTCTACATTTTAATTTTTTGCCTTTTTGTTCAGTGTTATTTATATCGACAAAAAAAAGAAATCCTAAAGTATTATTTATCGATAGTACGAATATTTTGAAAATCACTCTGGTTTTAATTAGTTCAATTAGTCCGGATCAATGACATCCCACTGTATCGTGTATCACATTATTTGAAAAGAAATTGTACATTTGTTTCTTTTATAACTGAAATATTAAAAATTGTAGAAATTGTGAACTGTACTGGATTTAGTGCAAAGTTATTCTACATCATATAAAAAACTGCCACACGTGGACAATATCTTTTGTGATTTAAATTAAACATACCAACTTATTGAAGTACAGTTTTCGTTATTTATTTATTTTTTTTGAAAATTGAGTCCAAGACATCTTAACTTTTTTTCGGACTCGGAAAATACAAAAAGCATCCCAAATGTAACAAAATTGGCCCACACTATAAATTAAAATAGACTATTGACTCTTAAAGGATATTTTTAAGTACAAAAATTGGCTAGTATATATAAAAAGATTTTTATAATGAGTGTATATACATGCCAGTAACATTTTCTACATTTTCAAAAGGAATATAAAATTTCATTGTACAATTTTCAAATATCACTTTCAGAAATTTTATGCTTTTTGAAAAAGGTGCAAGTAGATTTCACCTGCCAGACTATCATCAGATTTAATCGCTATGGTCTAACAGAATGCATCCCTTGTAAATTCTAAATTTCTTCATCCTTTAGGTAGTGGACGAATCGTCAGTGGCAGAAAGACCAGAAGGATCTTCCAGGGCTTGGATTGTAAAAGCGGAATGGTTTTGGACATCAGTTCAAAAAGAGACTAGCCTCGAGGAGAAAGAATATTTGTTTGACGATGTAAGTACAATTTACATTTAAAACATTTACATACATTACATTACGTTACATTTTTTAAACTAGCCGCTGTGAATTTTGAACATATTTTTGCTTTACAGTACATAGAACAAGTGCTATCTCCTAATGCTAGAAGGGATTCCCACGCAACGACGCCCAGTAGTGCTAGTAGAAGAAAACGTAAAAGGTTACATGAAACTCTCTCTTCTTTGGTTCATCAGCAATCGCCTGCTTTGCACAAACGCCGCTCCTCAGTTAGTGATGCTGGTCTGTTATCGGTTTCTGGTTCATTCTTGGATTGCACTGCCAGCCCAAAAGAAATTCTGGATGGCACAGAACCTGTCGCAGACACCCCTAGGAAGGGGCTTACAGCACGCCAGCAAGTTTTCTTAGAATTGCTGCAAACAGAGACCAATTATGTAGATATATTGCATACAATTATGACCGTAAGTATTTTAACACTGTTAGTTTGTTAATTTTATTAGTTTTCTCGTCTTAAATGCAGGGTGCGGCTTCAAAATATGGGCAAATTAAACATTTTTATTACAAAAACCAAAAGTTTTACTAAATTTTTCTACAAAATTGTAGGGTCATACAGAACACATTTCTGAAACGTTTCCAGGCCTGTTTTAATGCACCAACACTTAATACATGAACTTTTCCCAGAAATTTCATTCTGGAAGCAATGAGGATATCTTTAGGGTCATGGGACCGCCAGCGGTCATTCCTTCGATTGATTTTCACATCAACAGCAAACATTTTTTCGTCAGAAATAAACCTGATTCGTCCAGCAGTGTTGTTTCTTAAGGAACACAAAAGCAGGTTGCAGCATTCAACTCATTTTGTCCTGGCGGTTTCGGAAAGTATCTGTATGTTTTTTAGACTTGTAGTGGAGGTTGATGTATCATTTTCTCAGTCACACCAACAACTGAAGACAATTTTTGAATTGACTGCCCTGGATCCTCAAGAATCATCTCCTGAACCCGTAGAATGCAACATACTCCTCTGAATTAGTTTTCCTCGTTGGTGGTGCAGAACCTTGTTTGGATTTCTCTGACTCCATATACTTAGCGATGGTACGATACATAGTCGATCTCAGATATCCGAAGAACTGATAGATCTCTTCTGCCGAGCGCCCAGCTTGAACACTTTCGACAATAACGGCTTATCGATTGTATTCTCTTGGTTTCAACATTGAAGGTTTTTGAGGTTATGAATGTTTAGTACATGCTTCAAGCTATTTCGAAGCCAATCACGATTTCTACATATGATATAGAATGTCGGGAATTTCAAATTGAATTTTGTGCAGATTTTGGTGCCAATTTTTTTATTTACACTTTACACCTAACCTAACTTCTACAAAAGCGAAGTGGTGACTATAATATATGAGACAGAAAATAAATAAACAAAGATAAAAATATTAACTTAGGATCCAAACCCAATGCACAAATCCGGCTTAATGGTGTGGCAAGCTTGGCCATACCGGGTTAACTAAATTTTTCGTCAAAATGTCAAACCGCAACAAACTATAGTTAACCGGGTTGGCGGTTTTCTCGCCAAAAAACCTTAAAAATTAAAATATCTCTTTTCTTCCTAAATATAATAGTAATGGGAATTTTTATTGAGATATTCTGTATAATGACCTCAGTAAGCAAAAATATGAACGATATTTAAACAATAACAGCCAATAGATTATACAGGGATGGCCAGAAGAATGGAATAAAATTCATATCTTTTGAATGAGTTAATTTTTTTTAAAACGCCGAAACACGTTAACTGATTTTGATTTTTTCCCATCTTTCGGTTATATAATAATTAATTTTTCTTCAACCCCTAACCCCCAGCTACCCCTAAATTTTTTTTTCAAACCCCCAGCAGGGGGTTAAGGGGTTGAAGAAAAATTAATTATTATATAACCGAAAGATGGGAAAAAATAGAGATGGGCAATGGGAAATTTTCCGTCTCGGAAAGTTTCCAAAACGGAAATTTTCCGGGAAGAAATAATCGAAGCTTGAGAAATTTTCCCTGGAAAGTTTCTTAAAATTTCCGTCGGAAATTTTCTGGGAATATTTCTAACAATTTGTAAACTTGGAGCCAATTTTACTTCTATCTTCTATGAACATTGAACATACACGTCGTTGGTTAATTTCGGATTTTCGGTTAATTCGGAATACCAGAAGACCATATTATCCAAATAAGTTAGGAAACACTTACACTTACTTATTTTAATCTTTGTTAAGTCTACAAACTACATAATAGAGAGCAATACAAGACTCATAAATTGCCTCCTTTTCAAATTTAATATGAATTTTGATAGTTGAACTGAAGTACAATTACATTTTAAAACTATATAATTATTTAATGTATTTACTATTTGTTTGTTAAAAAATAAGGATAAATGTTGTATACTGTATAGTGTTTACTCACTGTAACCCTCAGCATGTAATTTTTTCTAACGGATGATTAATATATAATTTATATTTTTCCAATACCAATACCAATACCAATATTATACAAATATAAATAAAAATGTATATAAGTATTTGGTCTTTTTGGAGAGCTGATGGTATGTAGAACAGAATAGAAGTAGAATAGTAGAATCCAAAAAAAAAAATAAAAATTTTAAATTTCCGGAATTTTCAATGGAAACTTTCCAAGAATTTTCATAGTTTGGGAATTTTCCCATTTCTAGGAAAAAATCAAAATCAGTTAAAGTGTTTCGGCGTTTTAAAAAAAAATTACTCATTCAAAAGATATGAATTTTATTCCATACTTCTGGCCATCCCTGTAAAGGCAAAACAAATGAGAAATAAAAAAAATATATTAGCAGTTCCAGACACCTTTGATGTTATGAGGAAAGCATTTTCAAACACCCTCAAAACTCAAAGTTGTGCTGTCTGAGACTGCAGCCAGTTTCGAACTGATGTTATTGTCTCTTTAGTTTTCTTGAATTGACAGTAAGAAGCCATGATAATTATTGGGCATGATGTTTGAAGTGAAGAGTGGATGATCAAAAATCTCATCAGAATTTTTAAATCATTTTGATTGTAGGATATGGATGTGCTATATCATGATAAAAAACCATTTCTGACTTGAGCATCTTCTATAATCTATTTTGAAGGGCACATTCTATGTTTCTAATCTTGTGCACCTAGTGTATATTTTCATATTTTTCAAGAGCTGGCTTGCGTGTCAGTTACTCAAAGAATAATTTGAATAAGTGTTTTGTATAATTTGTAGGTACTAATCTGTGACAAGTGTTTTTGTCTTAATGATTTTCGGGTAGCATAAAAGTACAGATACATCATTGTATGATTTCCAGAAGTTCAGGTAGACTGTATTAAAAAATATAATTAAAGAATTAATTACGTTCTTTCATCTTAGACCCAGCATTTTTTCAAAGTGCTCTCTTAATTATATGTTTCTTACAAAAATAGGTATCATTTGTTAATGCCACCTATACTCCGCGGTCGAAATTATAGAGAGTGACTCGGACATAATATAAAAATACTATTACCATAATGCATATAAAATATAAAATGATTTTTATACGGTTCAATATTATTTATCTTTATGCCGCTCGCTACGCACATCGATAGAATCTATAATCGTCTATAGACTGAGTTACACTGAACGTCGATCTATATTCTATCTCTGTCTTTTGCACTTG